TGTATATAGCTTGGCGATCGGAAGCCTAAAAAGTCTACGGATTGAGAGGGTGAAGAAACCACATAGACTCTGAACGCTGAAGACCTTTGAGAAGTTGAGTGCAACTCCAAATCCAAATCGCAATAGTGGTTTGTTTCTGGGCGCAGCTATTTCCTTTAAGAGCACAACTCTAAGTCCAAATCGCAATAGTGGTTTAGATTTTTCTGGATGACGCTCACTCCCAAAAACTGGCAGGAATGAATATTTTATTGTCATTCTACAAATCGCAACATTTCGCAGTTTTTCGCAATAGACTTCTTGCCTTTTCGCACCATCCAACAGTTGCCAAACATGCGCATATTGTGTGGCTTTCAGGTGTGACAGCTGGCCCTTGGTGGAGCTGGAACGCCTTTTCAAGAGAAGCCGCCCCATTCTTCGCGACCTGGCCAATTCTGATGATTGGGGAGATGGGGCCCCTGACCGGTTCTGATGGTTGGCTGGGAAAGCTTGGGCAATTTGACCAGTTCTGATGGTTGCAGAAATGGAAAGCTTGGGCACCCTTATTTTGCATGGACACTGGACCTTCAATCTTCCTTGACTGGTGTAAAAGTGAAGGAGGCCTTCATGGAAACAATGGCCCTTCTTCTCGCACAAGCAAACAAAAAAATGTCATATTTTATATAGGGTGGCATGACTGCACACATCATATTTCCCCTTCAACCACGGTCGCAGCTGCGCATGCCACAGATCTGGAATTGCGCGCAATTCGCATAGTCCAAAACTAATTTACTGGCAATACTTGGACGGCGCAGGGCAACATGTCACCGTTGTCCCAAGTACGTGAAAATGGGCTCTAGATCTGCATGTTCCACCCACATTTTGTGGGCCCTGGGTTTGCAATCTGCTTTGGCTCGCTGGTCAGCCAAGGCTGCTTTGAGGAAGGAAGCTGCGCTCCGCCTATGCTGCTTCTTGAACTGGCTCCGCACTCGAGCTACAGCCCTCCCAAACCTCGGCTGGGCAGCTTTATGGCTTTACTTGGGCCGGATTTGTCTATATACGGAGGTTGAGATGGTGCAAACATAAATAGGGCCAACTACACTGTAGTTGACCCTATTGGTTTTGCATCCTCTTTTGGTATCTTCAAGGATGAACAATTGCCCCTAGCCAAACCAAAGATGAGCCCGGAAAGTGCATAGTTGACAGGCATCTTAGTGGTGCAAAGACAACAAACAATTTCTGGCGTTGATTTCTTAGGCTCAACTTCGGGTATGCCTGAGAGTTTTTGAGATCGCGGCCGCCTTTGATGCGGCGGCGGCCTCGACGGTCCTGATAAGGTACAACCATCTCCCGGGTGGTGTTGTCCCCTTGCAAGGTCCTGTCTGCATAGTCATTCACCCGGTCGATCTCGGCATGGCCTGATTCCAACTGGTCCGATATCATCCACTTTGGGCTTTGGGCTTATGATTGCAATATAGACTGGGTGTGTTTTCTGATATGTTCAAAGGTGGCCTGGGAACCCTTTTTTTCCAATATGAAAAGGGTTCCCAGGCCACCTTTGAAATTTCTGAGTTGTCTTTGATGGGAGGCTCGTTTCCTACTGCCAAGTTTCCACTTGGATTCAAATCCAGTTTGCGCCTCCAAAGTATTGGTCTTAGGGCTTGGGCGCCTTTTCTCACAAGTGCCCTTTTTTTCGTCTTTGTTTGACATTTTTCACATCAAAATTCAACTTCAAAACGCCCTTGTTCAAAATACGAGCGTCTGCTGTAAAGCCAAGTTGGTTTGCGGGTGGCACCTCCAAACCAAGACATTGCCGTAGGCATCCTCCGGATGGGCATGAGACGCATGAGGGCGACAAACAAAGGGTGCCTCTCCATCAGCGAATTGATGGGCTGTTCAAGAATCCACCATATTTTCTTTCTTTGTGCCAATAGGAGCACGCTGTCATAGTCCCATCCGAGAGGTGAACTCTCGCTGCGGCCTGTGGAGCCTCTCGACCTGGGAGCGTTAAGTTTTCGAAGCTTCCAACACAAGCGCCTATGAAGGGCCGGAGGGCCGATGCAAAACGAGGGCTAAATTTAGCCCCCGTTTCTGGAGAGGAACCAAACTAGGAAACCCGCTCTCCATACTCTGGGCCACTTGTTAAAAACAAGCCAGTTAAAATGACTTGGACACATTGGTTTAGAAACAGGCTGAGGGAAAGAAAGAATAAATGGGTGACCTTTCAAGTTGACCCCTTTCAAGTTTCTCTTCTTCTTGTTTACTTCCCCTTCCCTTTCTTTACAAGGCACAAAAACACCCATGTACTGCAAACAGGCGCAGTGAAATGACCTGAACCAGGCCGTAGGTTGAGGATCTGGTAGACCATGTTCAAGAACCCTTGGTTCGACAAAATGTCGTGGTCGCTTGAATACCGCAGATCCATTGGAACGGCGTCTCGCTGCTCCTTCACAGGGCTTCTGAATTCTCGGGCCCTGCCACTTATAGAAGAACACATTTTACAGCTAGGGGGGTGTCCACGCAAAGGTTTTGACGAAGGACGCCTGCCACTCGCCTTTGGTGATACTCATGCCTCTTCTGAAGAGCTCGACATGGTCTGACGGAGATGACCAGTCAAGAGATGGGTTGTTGAACACCATCGAAACCAAGGTGATGATGGCCTGCAGGGGGTTCCGTGGGGTTTACTTTGTAAGCGCGAGTCTGGCTATATACAAATATATATATATATATATCGTTATATATACATTTATATTCATATATATAATGTCCCAAAATCAATTGTAAAGCTTCCAACTTGAAACACTGGGGCCCGAGCGAGGGGAGCGCGGAGAGCTCGCAATCCAGCCATCACCCATAGGCGTTGCTTTTGCTTCCACGTGTTACCCTTCTTAGCCTTGCCATCACCCTCCCCATTGAAAGGCATGCGAGCGAAAGCTGCTTTTGCCTTTGAAGGCAACCACATAGACTGTGTAGGCTTTGGCTTTCCCATTGCCCAAACGGTTGTCAGGTAGACCACTCAAAATACCTAGAGCCACAAAACCCTACCTCGAAGACATGTAAAAAGTAGCAATTGCCCTCACAGGTTGTTGTGACACTTTCTTGTAAACACAATTGGATTCACCTTCAAACGCACGTGCCCACCACACACTTTGCCGAAACACCGCGCACCCACGCGCTGCCCCGATCAGCCTTTGAGCCAAGGCGATTTTGGTTGGGCCTGGGAAAGCGCTTCCCAACGCGTCTCAATTTGGAAACTTGGGCCATCTTGGACCTTAAAGGGATTGACCTCAGTTTGGTTGGGCCATTAGTGTTTCAATTTGCTATCCGCAAACGAGGGCCTGACCTGTGAAAGCACTGCAATAGACAAAGGGCCTCCATGCGATCGGCGCTGATTGATTCATGCTCAAGAAATACACGACTAGAGTACGACTAGATGTATGTCTTTGTCGCGCACGCCTTCCAACTCGGTAGGCGGTAGTCGAGGATGTAGGAGAAGTCCACCGCAGCACCTCCAAGGTTGCATTTGGCAAGATCTTCAACAAGACTCTAACATGGTTACATTTCCCCTCAACATGGATTCCAGATTTTGAGAGCCAGGTCGGATCAATTGCACCTTTGGTAGAGTTTTGCGGATGAGCTCTTCGAAATGGCCACTCAAGCTTTTTGCATACTAGACGGGCTTGAAGTTTGGTTCTACCTTCAAACATTGGTAGAAGCGCATGAAGTCCCCAGCCTCCACGGCAATGAGTGCAGCGCCCCCTGGCGTTTGGTCAAACTGAGGATTGGCAGCTGTGAGCTGCGGCTGACTTCAACATCATGCTGCTTCGTACGCGCTTCGCACCCTATCGACTTGTGTTCCTTGCCTCGCATCCAGTGGTCAAGACCTAAAGGTCACAAGCTAGCAGAATAAGTTTCGTCGTTGAGATCTCAAGAGCCACTTACAGCAGGCAGCTGTGAACAGAAGAACAAGCAAAAAAAATGTTTCTTCTTACGAACTTTGTTACCGCACTTGTCACCGCTGCCCCTACCCATAAAGGCACAGAGAAGAACATCCAAGCGCACTTCACTTTTTGAAGTGTTCAAACCCCACAAACTCTAGCCAGTTGGCAGAGTTCCCCAGCTCAAAACTCACACAGCCCAGTTTGCTTGTTTCAAAGCACGAACCCATGACTCAGCGACACCACCATTCCGGCTCCATGTGATTTGTCCACGAGCAAATGGGCCATCGCCATGCCCATTGTCTCCCGAACCAACCCTTTTGATGCAAAAAGCCTGGTTCCTCAGAAGAACTTCCACAGCCTAGGATGCGAGCGGCGGCGCGCAGCAAGCCGATGCGGTGGATGAGGAGCTTCCTGCTAGATGGCTCGAATTAAACATGTCGTACCAAATCCAAAGGTTCACGATTTTTGGGCAAGGGGCCGCATTGTTGGAAGATGTAACTGTGTACCCGTGGGCACCACCGTTTTGCTTTCCACTCTGGGGTAGAGCAGCAGCTGGGATGTTCAATTCCTGAAGATTGTAGCCTTTGAACATGTGCGGATTAGCGCAAGAGTTTTCACCATTCTTGGTTCGCTTCGCTGATTCGGACACACGCTCACTGTCTTGTTTGCGTTTCTTGGGCTTCACAACTTCTGGTGCTTCCGGGGGTGAAGCACCAGCATCCATGGACTCCTTGACCCTTTTCATGCCCTTGGCCTCACCAGCAATCCGCTTCAATGTTGTGGAAGCGTTAAACATATGTAAACACAAAAAACATGTAAGCATATGTGTATATCATTGAGCTGAACTGAATGCATTCCAGCTGACTGTCTGTATACCCACTGGCGAAGGAGTCAGAGCGCCCGATTCAAACAACTTTTGGATGTTGTCGGTCGTGGGGGGGGTTCAAGAACAGGCGGTAGCTTGTTGCAAGAAGTTTCAGCCCCCATTTCCTTGTTCTCTTCACTACCCAAAAGCTCAGCCCGCATCGCGTTCCGCAAAGGTCTCTGGTCCTGGCCAAAACTGTGAATGCGTCAAAGTCCTAAACATGTTAATTACACAACAACTGGTCCTCAAGTTCGAAAAGCTTTCTCTTGAGGGGTTTGGATGAAGTTCGCTCAGCGGTGCTAGAGGTCACCTCTGCGTGCAACTCCCGGGAACGTACCTGCAAGGATGCAAGAGCTAACTGAGCGAACGACCCTAAGTTGCTTACACTAGCAGTTATACTTCAGAAAAACACAGCAACGCTAATTCCCACAGTTGCCTCAGAATTTTGCGCAGCGACATACCGCTTGAACCATTCGTCCCAGTGTTCTGTGGTTGACAACCAAGAAGACGCCACGATCCCAAAGCGACTGAAAGCCCACTCACAATGTGAAAGATAATTCGGAAGGTGATAGTTCCTTATTCGTGCGCGCCGCAAACATGAGGGCTAAAGGAGGGTAGACTCAAAATGACAAACCAACACACACACACACTGGGTCAAGAATTGGCTGAGTATCTTAAGGATGTCTGGGTTGTGCTTGCTGAACCATTCCATGAGAGCTATGCACATCTCGACGATCTCAGAGGCGAACCCAGAATTGCCAGCCTCAGGTGATCGGAACAGTTCCTCGTTGTAGCAGCTGACCTTTTGTGGAGGAGGTGAGTCGCAAGCAGGCACAAGAGAGTCAACCTCAGCTGGCGCCCCAAGCGGTGGCATCTCATCCTCAGAATCCTCAGAGCAAGCGTCCAACTCAGGTTTTGCAACCTCGCCTTCATCAGCCACAGCTTCAGCATTAACTACACCTTCCTCCAAACATGCATCATCCTCACAACCTCCATCGCTACTCTCACCATCCCCCTCACAACCTTGATCCTGATTTTCAAGTGGGATCGCGCAATCCCCTTTGCCTTCACTGCCTTCCTCCACAGCCTCGTCAGGGCTGGCGTTAGGTTCATCACCTTCCTGGTCCTCCTCATTCTCTGCAGAGACTTCGGAGTCCTCATCGCCATCCTCCGGAGTAGGTCGCTCCTGCGACACAAAACACAAAGCACCTAGAAAATGCAAAATGGCAACATGGTTGGAATCCATCGATGATCACGCTTGCAAGGAATCACCGAGCCTTCCTGGCAGGAGACGTCTGCAACAATGATTTGAGTTCTGTGATGCGCGGGTGGCTGCCGGTCTGGCCTGATGTCCAGCAGGGCGCGCGGAACAAAAATGACAAAACTTCATGACTCGCACCCGCAGTGAATATTAGTTTACACACGCTGCTGAGTTACTTGACCTCCAAAGAAAGCGAAGAGCTTGCAAAAGCCGTTTCATGTTGTTGCCCTCGTGCGCCGCAAGTGACCGGACAGTGTCACCGTCATTCTGCACCTTGAAAAGGCCTTCCATGAAAAGATGATGCAGGTACAAGAAAAGGTCGGTGCAAAAAAATCCGGAGGGCACAGTTGTCGGAAACTTCGCGGCCACTGGCTTGAGCCAGTAGAAATTCAAAATCAGATCGTTGGCCGTCGGTCTTGAAGTGTAATCAGCCAGCTGTAGCAGTCGACCGCCGGACCACTCTGGGGCTGTCAAAACCTGGATGACAGAGAGTGGAAGGGATTGCTTCACAGCAATCGCCAAGCTCTGTACGTCTGACTCCTTCCACGAGACCTTGCCAGGTCCTCAAATCTTGTGAACTGAACTTGAAACCGGGTCGAAGCAAATTGCAAAAAATGCTGTGACCTGCTAAACAAAAGGTGTGATTGGTTAGCGCACTAAATGAGACTAGCTGCTGCAGCTCTTCCAAACTTTCATGCTCAACGGCAAGGACGACGGCGCTGCCATGTTAGCCAAACCCCCGGGCCGTGCTTTAGCCAAACCCTTCCATACAAAACCCGCGCACGTGCCAAGTCGTAAACTGCACATGAGAGTCGCCATGACACAGCGTGAAAGAAGCACTGTCAGGAGTAGCGCTGCCACGCTGCAGCTCGCACGACGCGGCCCATGGAAAACGGGGCAGCCGTGATTTGGGATGGTTCAGTCGGAGTGGTACCCCCAACTCTTGCGTGTGTGCTGTGTGTGTGCGTGAGTTTTTTCGCAATGACAAACACAAAAAAGATTTGGTAACCAAACTTTTGAACCGACACAGCTTTGACCCCCTCACATGGCCAAATGGCTGCCAAGCGGAGCTGGTTTGAAAAAAACAGCGTGCTTGAAGAACACCGATTGCATCCATTAAGTTGAAGCACCCTGTTTCCAAGACAGTGGTGTGACCACATGTTTTCGACACAAGGGGCGTGAAAAAACTTTGTGCGCCAGGCGGTAAACTTTTTTTTGGTAGCGTAGCTATTTCAAGCGCAGCTAGCAAAAGTGTTGCTGCGCGCTGTGCCCTCAAAAACACTGCGCGATGCATAGATCCAAGATACACTGTTTTGCAGCTAAGCGCACCATACGGTGTCGTTGACCAAAAAGGCTTACAAAGGACACTGTTGGAGCCTTTAGGCAGTTTACAGTCAGTGTTCTTTCGCGATGGAGTTGAAAGATTTGGACTTGGACTTGGACACTCGCCTGCTGAAAAGAGAAAGGCTCTTGGATCGCCTCCGAATGGCTTTTCAAAGATTGGGAGTTGCTGACCCGGTGCTACCAAACACTTCTGGGAGCAAGAGAAAGTTTGAGAAAGCCGCCTTTCAA